CAGAAATAGAATGCCACACGATCATCCGGTCGAAGGGAACAGGGCAGAAGCCTATGCCTGAACCTTACTTGCAAGTGGGTAGTTCTACGTGGGAGTTGTAACTGGGATAGCCACTGCTTTGAAGCAACAGAGAGACAGAAGTATACATAGACATACATTTCATAACGCTGGCTCCTTGAAGGAACCAGTCCCAACAAAGCATTGGAGTATGGTACTCTAGAACCCGTTTAGGGTTTAGGGTTTAGGGTTTAGGGTTTAGGGGGGTGCAAACCACTTATTATGACTTGAACCTTCCCTGCGAGCCCGGGCCAGTGTCGGATGCCCCGCAGAGTAGCTGCAAAGAAGGGAGACTTGGCAGGAGTTGATTCTCAGATCACTGTCGGAAAAAATTGCCCCAAAAAAACTCGAGAATCGGTGTGTCTCGGATATAGGCATGTAGGCGTAGGAGTGCTCCAAAAAACTGGAGAATCGCTGTGTCTCGGATACAGGCATGTAGGCGTAGGGTGGAAGCCCTGGAGTTCAGGGTCAAGGATTTCGGCCTTCCAGATTCAGGTTTCGTCTCGCAGATCTAGGGCCTCGGGTCCAGGATATGAACCCAAAGGCCCTTTAGGCAACGAGCATAGCTTAGGTGAGACAAGGATCCATGTTAGTTTTAGGGCATCTTCCTGATTCAAGGGCTTTTGGGATCTCCAAATCAAGGGGCCCGAAGAATTCTCAGTACCAGTCACTAGGGGTTCCGGTTCCATTTTATATAGGTAGAACTACATGGCAAGCTCCGAAAATTAGGGGGGGTACCTGAGTTGCGATTTGTGGGATCCTTATGATAAGGATCTACTATTTAGGGTAGTATATTGTGGTTCTTTATGTGCGGAAACCCTCACATTACAAGATGCCCTATTGTATTGTATCAAGAACCGGATATTCGGGCCCTGGCAACTCCTAAACCCCAACCATCAAAGCCGAATTTTACATCTGAAAGACTTAGGCGAACGGTTCGGGGCTTAATAACTCGAAGGGGGCTTGCAAAACTCTATAAAGGAATGGTACTCCCGATATGCAGGCCCCTAGAGTAATATGGTGGCCTAAATAATTACCAATACTATTGCGGGGTTCCTTAATATGGTTATGGTATAATGTACCCCCGAAAACACTCTTCTAACCATTGAGGCCGCCGTAAGAGCATGCGCCTCGTGAGAAACCAACTCCCGCCTCGCCTCTACGAGACAAGCGCAGCTTAAAACCAGGGGGACGACGCGTTCAACAGTCCGCTTGGAGATTCATCTGGGTAGTTGTCAAAATTAGGGTCCCTTACTGGGTACCCTAAATATTCGGTGCCGTAATATATTCAGGACCCAAAAGGGACCATAACTACAGGGGCCTTCATAATTAGAACAGGGTTTTGGGCCATAGTATACGGTAACCATAATAAGGAACCTTAGGAAAAATGTAGGTAAGTATTTAGGCCCTTGTAGTTATGTGGGTTTAGAGCTCAGGGCTTCGTCGTAAGTGTGGCTACTAGTAGGGGAACTATCAATAGCCTGTACTGGGGGACTCATAGCCCCACTTAACACTACACCTGAAACTCCAAGCAGGAGAACTTAACTGAGTTGTCCTTTAAGCCCTTTGAAAATTATTTACTATTATGGTTCTCTACAAAGTAGTAAGGGGAATTAAAAAAGATCCCAAAGGACAACCCAGTAAAATGACATGAGTCAGAGCACAGACCTGCAAGCCTCGAAAGATTTATCCAAACTGGCTCCAGATGTGAGACCCAATAATAAGGTCCTCGGCTTTAGGCTAGTAGTTGTGTAGGTTAGGATTTTGGAGAGTATGTGAGGCAAGAGGATCATCGTCTCTGACTGAGTTGTCCGCTCCATCCGACCGCTGCTTCTGCGTCTTCAAGCGAGCGGTCAAGATGTAATCGAAACACCGAAGTGTGCCTAATCCCTAAACCCTAAACCCGAACAAAGTTCCAGTTGGGGAATCGATCCGTGTACGCAAGAACCCCTATCCAATCTAGAATCTACGGCAAAGGAAAATGGACTGAGGGCGTCTGAGCCAGGAGACTTCAAGATCCGTTAGGTAGGGGTTTAGGGTTTAGGGAATGCGTGTTGATGTAGAAGCCTGAATAGTTAGACAAAGCTTTCGAGGTTTCTATAATATGTTTCTGTGCCAGAACTCCATCAAGGAACCTTGCGGAAGTATATTGCTAACCCCGATATCAGTCCTCAGTCCTTGCAAGTGCGGGCTGTTACAGGCTTTTGGGTTCAGATTGGTATGGGGTTATGTAAAGGGGTTAAGCCTGTTAAGCTTTCTCCATTCTTTAAGAATAAACACCAGAACTTCACAAGTGCCACTTGATGCAGGGATTTTGGAGTCTCCGAAATCGCGTGAAAAAAGTCCTGGGTGTTCCCCGCATTCCATGCAGGGACCCACCGGACTGCAATCCCACCACCGGAATATCTTGAAGACTCAAACCCTAAACCGTGTCTTGAAGCCCCAAACCCTAAAGCCCTATACTCTGAAGCCTAAACTCAAAAACTCTGAACCCTTCGACCTAAAACCCTGGATTACTTATAGGCGAATCGTCTTGCACGCCGCTCAGATGGCTCAAGCCAGGGGGCCTGAATAACTGGGTTAGTTGTGTACATCATCCAACAACAAAATACGGACTCCGCAGGAATATTCCCAGTAGTCATTCCGAAGTGTTCCTATACATCCCTCCTGTAACCGTCAAACCCCATAAAGCAGTTACTCGAGCCCTTAAATCAAATGGAAAATGTCGATTGTGCATCTTCCTCCGGGATCTCTCTGGGCTCCGCTTCGCCTCGGAGGAGGGCGAGAAACCATGCCGGAGCCTCCACCTGGGGCGTACCCAGACCCCCCCCGGGAGGATCTAGAAAGTAGATCCCCTAATTTGGGGCCCTACACTACTAAGGGTACTTTATAGGAACCCCCATTAAGGGAGCTACTTTTTGGATCCTCCCGAGGGTCTGGGTATTTCGGGGTTCCAGGGCTTTTTGGGGTGTAGGGTTTAGAATTGGGGGCTTCTTGGGGTTCCGAGGTTCGGGTCTAGGGTTCGTTTAGAGTCCGGGGAATTTGTGGCTTAGGGCTTTCGGGGTCGCTGGGTATACGGCTTGGTTTTCTGTAGAGTCTTGCGGTGTCGGGCTAAAGGCTACTTTTGCCACTACTACCACTTCTACCACTACTACCACTACCACCACTACCACCACTACCACCAACACCACTACTACTACGACTCCTACGACTCTTCCTCCTGCTACGACTAACGGTGCTCTTTCCCGATTGCACAAGGGCTTCAGCACATACCTTGTGGCTGAGCACCTCTAGAACATCCAACACCTCTAGTTCATTGTTGGGATAGGATTACAAAGTACAGTTTTGTTCCTTATTGGGTTCAAGTACCCATAAAAATGTAAAATACCACCCAACTATGACAAAGACCTGGCCTCTCTGGCCAAGTCTGCGGCAGTCTTGCCCCGGCTGTTGCGGATAGTGGCGTCTGCGCGAGCTTGTAGGAGAAGGCGGGACCCACCAAAAGCACCACACCTGAGTAGTTTAGGAGCTTGATTCAGAAGCAAAATTCTAGTCTCCAATCTCGTGGATTCATGGTAAGAACTCCAGTAAATCACAACTAACTACCAGTGGGTTCTCAATAAGGTTCCTACAGCAGTTGCAGTCTTGGAGCTTTTTCGTGCTGATCCCACACAATTGGTCAGTAAGAAGCAGCGGCATGGCGTCATCAATACTAGCAGAATCGCTCTCTCAGTAGCAACGACACCGGCTGGAACTCGCAGCCGGTTCAGTTTCCTACAAAGCCTGACCACCGAGGGTTGGTGGAAGATAACCAGGATGCCGGCTTTGTGCTTCCGAATGCCATCGCAGGTTGCCTTATGAACCACACCAGACACACCGACTCTCAAACCCCAAAACGCCTAAATCCAAACCCCAAACCCTTTTGTTCGCCTCGGCCCGGGCCGAAGCGGTCAGAGGTTTCAACAGGGACTCCACCCACTAACGCACACGCGCCTTAGCCATCAGAACAAAGCCCCACCCCCCTAAACCCTAAACCCCCCGACCCCTTCCTTTCCGGCCCTTCGCCTCGTCTCAAAAGGGCCGAGGCCGACGACGCAGAGCGTTTAAATTATAGGCTGCAAGGGCCTAGAAGAGGGGTCTACGGTCTGAGCATCCTTGAAGGCTTCTGAGTAAGGGCTCTATGAGATTTCTATAAAAAGTGTTACAGAGTTTTGGGTTTAGAATGATGTCCTGAAGAGGTTGGGGCTTAGACTGAAATGGTTAAACCCTGCAGCCCTGAACCTCTAACTCTAACGCCCGTACCCCAAGCTTTCGAGGCTTCGGGCTTGGCCCAAGCCCTAAGCTTCGAAAGCTTCAACCCTTAAACCCACCAAAGTCTCCGGCTCCGAACCCTCAAGCCCAAGGTTTAAGCTTTCCGACCTCAGCTCAGCCGAGAGGCAAGACACTCAGCATCAGAGGCGTGGCGAGCCGCTGATGGTAGGCGAGTCGTGTGAGCCTCAGCTTTCTTTCAAGGGTTTCGGGGTTGTTTTCTCGATCTTCGCCCGGCATTAACGTGTACACTTTCATTCGAATCAAGGCTTAGAGCTTTTTGTTTTGCGGACCCTTTTCCGAGGTTTAGGGGTTTAGGGTTTAGGGCTTTAGGGCTTTAGGGTAGGGGCCCCCTAAACCCAGAGCCGGCCCGAGAGGTCGAGAAACCCAAACCGCTTGGGTAGGGATTGGGGTCAGGGGTTTAGGGATTAGGGTTTAGGGTTTAGGGTTTAGGGTTTAGGGTTGTTTGTGCAGTTCTGCTGAGCAGGAACGCATCTTCGACCGCAGGCACATTCATGGCCCAGGAATGGAAAAGGATGCTTCCGGTGAAGCATTAGTGTGCTGCCAATATTGGTAGCGGAGCCTGCAGGCTCCAAAACCAAGTCACTAGGTAGTGACTCTGTTGCTGTGCCGCCATGGAAGGCGGCCACTCCTTACGGTACTTTAGCGGTGACAACGGCGATCCCCGCGAGTATCGAAGATGGAAGCAGTGGGTGCAAAGCAAGATCATGACCATGGATAAGCTGCCGAAAGCGGCCCATGGGGCCTTCATATTCACCTTGCTGCAGGGCAAGGCGATGGAGGTCGTGGAGCACCTGAAGGAGGAGGACTACCAGAAGGAAGGTGGAGACAAGGTGTTGCTGTCTCTGCTGGACAAGAGGTGGCCACAGAAGGACAGTGCGGACGAGCTCGGGGAGCACGTTTCGGAGGTGTTCCTTTTGGCTGCCAAGGACGGCGAGACGGTCAGAGAATGGAGCACGAGAGCCCAGGAGGTTTTCGATCGGTGTCTTCGGAAGACCGGAGTGACCTTCCCGGAGGAGGCCAAGGGCTGGATAACCCTGCACCGGAGCGGGCTTACCGAGGAGCAACGAGCAGTTGTCCTGGCCCGTTGCAGCGGTTCCTTGAAGTATGATGACGTTGCCCAGGCTATGCGCTCTTGCTACCCAGAGTACACCGTCTCCAAGCGGCGCGGCGCGACCGCCGCCCACTATGTCGAGGATGAAGGGGAAAACTGGTATGCAGACGACTACGGTGCCGCGGACTACAGCGGCGCGAACTATTCCCCCGGATGAGGCAGACGTGAGCTTCAACGACGTGGAGCTCTTCTTAGCAGAGCATGATCTACAGGTTCCCGCGGAGGAGCTCGAGGTCTTTCCGGAGAAGGAGGTGGCCGAAGTCCTGGCCACGTCCTGGAAGGACAAAAGGGCTGAGCTGTCACGGTTGCAGAAGGCGCGAAAATTTTCTGCAGCCAACGATGTGAAGCGTTCCTTCAGAGTGGAAGTGGAGGAACTGAAGCGGCGAACCCAGTGTCACAGGTGCGGCCGCACAGGCCACTGGGCCCGGGAGTGCCGTCTCCCGCGGGCCTCGGCAGCCACCGGCGCGAGTGCGTCTTCCTCGTCCCACGCGGCGTCGGGAGCAGGACTTGTGCAACAGCTACCAGATTTCATCTGTATGGTGACCACCAGTGTGGGTGCTGTGGAGATTGACGTCCCGATGCTGGATCAGCTGCGGGCGAGGCGCCTCAGCACAGAGAGCGCCGTGCATCTTGTGTCAAGTCCCGGCTTTGCTGTGCTTGACTCCGGTTGTGGCCGGAGCGTGATCGGAGCTGACACGCTCGAGCAGTTCAAGAAGCTGTGGAAGGAGGCCGGCTTGGGACCGGCAGTGGAACACCCGGAGCAAAACAGCTTCCGGTTTGGGAATGGAAGCCTGGAGGTCTCGAACAAGGCGGTTGAGATCCCGGTGTGCATCGCCGGGAAAAGGGGGCGTGATCCGTGCCGCGATCATCCGAGGACAAGCCCCGTTGTTGCTCTCCCGGCCTGCCCTTAAGCGCTTGCATGCGTGCCTGGACTTCGAGAAGGATCAGCTTGTGTTGTTCGACGAGGGCATCCGTATTACCTTGAAGGTGAATGAGGCCGGGCAGTATGTACTTCCTGTCCTCGGGCAGCACGGCGGCGACCATGCCGAGATCACCGGCCCCGCGGACCAGACGAGCCCTAATGGGCCCACTGAGGAGCCGGCCGCATCTTCTTACGCCACCAACACCTCCAGCACCTTGGGATGCAGTTCAGTGGGTGTGCCTACTGATACTTGGGAGTTAAGCGGTCATCAACTGATTAGAAGACATAATCAGCCTCGCGTGTCGCACTTTGCACCACAGGATGCTGTAGATTGTCCAGTGCCTTTGGAGCAACTGCAGTCCAATCGAGAAACCACGTGTGTGTTTTCCGATGGCAGCACCATCGTACAGAACGATCATTAGGATCAGAACCAGGCCCCGACTAGCCAGGCTAGTTGGACGGGTCAGACTGTGTTTCAGGTGATAGCGCCGCCGGGCCCCTCACCTGAGCCTGATGCCACTGTGTGTCAATGGTCCAAGCGTCAGCGGAGACAGCTCCGTGCTTCCGCTAAGGCTGTGGAGCAGCCTGCTGTGCCTCCTATGCCGGATCGCTTTCGGGTGATTGAGCTGTTTACCCCTCCTAGACTGGCTAAGTTAGCGGTTACCCGGGGTTTCAATTGCCTAACAGCAGATCAAGCGACCGGCTGGAACTTTAGGCGACCTGCAGACCGCAACGTTTGCTCGACACCATGCGGCAGCATCGGCCCGACCTTATGTATATAGGACCTCCCTGTACCTGGACTGGTGGTTGGTTCGATGTTGATAGCCCCCACCTTGATGCTGAGCAGAGGGCTGAGAAGAACCGGCTAGTTAGGCTTCTGTGTGGGTGTATCGCCGACGCTGCCCAGATACAGCTTGCAAACGGTGGTCACCTTGTGTTTGAGCCGCCTGCCAGTGTGGATCTCTGGAAGTTTCCGAAGCTTGCTGCCCTAGCCAATCGCATGTTCAAGGTATCTGTGGAAATGTGTGCTTATGGTTTGACACTGCCAGATCACTGTCCTGTGCAGAAGCGGGTTTCGCTTCTAGTGTCACATGCGCACATGCGCTCCTTGAACAGACCCTGTCCGGGCCATGCGTCTCATCAGCCATCCTTCGGGTATCACACCCGGTATGGATCTATGGAGCGTTTTGCTACGCAGCATCCAGTGGGATTCCTTAGAGCGGTTCTTAGGACGGTCAAGGGTTTGGCTAAGTCTGAGGTGATGTTAGTTCAAACGCTCCCGGACAAGGAATGTCTTGTTGCAGCACGCGTGCAGCAGATGAACGGCGAGAAGCGTGAGCAAATGATGAAAACTCTGCTGAGGCTGCATGTGAATCTTGGACATCCGTCCTGTGCCAATGTGGCCAGAGTCTTGAAGCATGGCGGCGCAAGCCAGGAAGCAATCAACTTGGCCCGAGAAGTGCAGTGCGATGTGTGTCGGGCCCAAAAGCCCCCGACATCGCCACCTCCCGCGCAGACTCATAGGGCAGAGCATTTCAATCAGCGTGTCGGACTGGATGTGAAGTATCTTCAGGGTTGGCAGCCTAGCCAAAAGGTTCCTTGCTTGAATATCGTGGACTAAGCATGTCCACTGGCCTCTGGGGGTAGGTTTAGTGTTCAAAGTGCCGGTGCCAAAGTCAACTCCAACAGGTATGCCCTACCAGCCAAAGCAGCACACAAACCGGAAGCACATGCCGATTTTTTCTGCCGCCGGTTTTGCTAGAACGTCCAGTCGAAAGCTGCTCCAGGCTTGGCCGAAAAGCAGCCCCATGACCTGCGCAGGGTGCTAAACTTACAATGTAGCAACGTGGTTCGGTGCAGTATGAAGCTCAACCGAAGGCAACACATCAACTTTCAGCGACGCGTTCGATAAGAAGTACAGTTTTTTTTGTGTTAGCACAAGTAAGCGGGTTGCAGTGATGATGGTGTTGCTGGTGGTCAACATGGTTGCCATGCAGAAAAAATACATTGGTGATGCAGCCGCTTCTGATGTTAATGATGGTGATGTGTAGCAGTAACAATAATGCCTCAATGCCCAGGGTGGTAGTAGTGTGCTGCATTTGATGCTGTTGGTGAATCGATTTTTACGATTATGAAGACCAGGAATGTTGATCATGATGATGACTGCTGCGAGGATGACGATGATGATGGTGATGTTGATGGTGTTGATTATGAAAAATGACGACGAGCATGATGATGGTGATGAGGGAGATTCAAGGGTGATGGTGACGATGAGAATGCTGATGGCGATGCCGATGACCATGGTGATGATGACGATGGTGATGATAGTGTACTAGTGATGAACGACAATGATGATGTCATCTGTGAACCGTCGCTTCTGTCTGAACTCTGTCTCTTGTTTTCTATGTTTGTCTTATGCATGTCTCACCTTATGTCTCACCATCTCACCGTCTCACCTGTCTCACTGTCTCATGTGCCTCACCTTATGTCTCACCGTCTCACATGTCTCACTGTCTCATGTGCAAGCAGTGCAGGCATCTCGCAACTTGTTTAGCATCTCGCAAGGCTCGGCGTCAGGATCAGCTCGCATAGCTTCGGGCGGACGACGCTGGAGAAGACTCGACATCGTCTCCTCGGATGTGCGGCGGATAGTGTTTGATTGATCTCGCTCTCGGGCTCTCGGTCGATCTCTCTCTTTTATTTCTCCCTCGTCGCTCGCTCAACAGTCAGCTCATGTTGCTGCCACGTGGCCTGCCTCTGCTGTGTTTGCCGTGGTTGCTGCTTCACGCGGTAGACATTGGAGTCCATGTGGATACACATTGAGATACGATTCGATAACATCCCAGAAGCCTTTGCAGCTACCTCTCAATCTGGAGTTTATCTCCGGGCAGGCGACATATAAATGAACCAGGATGTAGTCCCTTGCGACGGCGCTGTGCTGAAGGAGAGATAGCAGATCTCGGTGAGGAGCAGCAGCCATGGTCAAGTCAAGGAAAGGATGAAGATATGCAATGTAGTTGGTTTCGAGCCAGAACCTCATGCATACATATATGTTGATGTCGTTGTTGTTGCTGTTGCTGTTGCTGCAACGCTGTGAAACTGTGAAACTGTAAGACGTTGACATTGTGAAACGGTGTGAAACGGTGTGAAACGTTACAAACCCTCACTGTCATGCAGCCTCTCCGCCTCTGTCTCTCACTACCTCAGTGTCTGAGTGCATGCAGAAACATTTCCAGCTTCCGTGGTGCGCGTGTCGTGCATCGTGCAAGTGAGAAGGTCTGCACAGTGAAACGGTGAGACGATGCAGGGCCCAAACCAGTGTGCACGTAGCACGTATGAACATATAATTGAAGCGACAGAAACATAGTTAACGACATGATACGACATGTGAAACTCTCACACACTGCACTGGCCTGCACCGGCGTGGCTTGTGGGTCAATGACTGTAGGTCACTGAAAGCGACTATTCGGGATATCATCGATATCAGACATCAAAGGCTCGGATGCATTCACGTGCAACCGTGCAAAAGTGCAACACATCAATCATACATCAACCTACTTCGTCAAATGCTTTGCATTTGCGTTCACACGTGGCTTCTTTGTCGGTGAGCTCTTGGTCAAGCGGCTCACGGCTGACGTTGTTGCGCCAACACCGCCGAAAAGGCCTAGCTTGCGAAGGGCCTCGTTGGCAAGGGGCCAATCTCCCTCCGCCAGATGCGCCTGGCCAGGGTATGCTCGCTTTGTGCCCTTTTTTGGTTTCCACTCTTCTCCTGGCAGATGCTCCCTCATGAGCACGAGGAAGGCATCTCCGTCGATGACTTTGATCAGGACTGGCGTCAAACCAGCGTCCTCTCCGTCGGTGGTAAAGCGGAGGACTGGAACCGAGTACTTGATTGTCGTGCTCTTGTAGATCATTTGGCATGGGAGCTCTCCGATAATCAGCGCTGGGCGAGCTAGGTCCGTTGGCGGGATCATCCAGGTTGCACATGGAGTCTCACTCTCCAAGGTATCGAAGCTTTTGCCCCTGATATAAAACTCCAATTCACACTCGTCGTCTCCGCAATCATCGCCGTCACCACTGCCGCCAATACCTGATGTCTACTTTATCAAAATCGATATTCGACTACTCGACTCAGTTGCTGCAACAAACAAACGACGTTCAATGGTCGCATAGTGTCGATGCTTCAGTGGCTGATCGGGATCACCCTGCACGGTGACTTCGAGTGACGTTAACGTCATCACTCTTGGCGGTTTCTGCACGACGGGGGCAGCGGTGCCTGACACTGAGATTGATAGTTGATTTGATGACATGATGACCTGATGACCGCCGTGAAACCGCGACTTCTAATCTACACTGTAATCTACATGACGCCAATGTTCGGTGTGTGATTACAGTTGTCAGTCTATCGTCATCGAGCGACAAACGTCGCCCCAGAAGCACAGCTTGAAATTATCTCTGAGCTCCGGCGTGGTCACCTCATCCAGTCTTGCCCGTACACCGTCTTGTCCTTGCGACAAGTCCTTGTAGTTGTCAATGATGTTAGTGACCTGTTGTGTCTTTGGCAAACGCAGCAGCACTTCTGTTGACTTGACTTTCTTGTCACCCTTCTCAATTTCCTTGACACAGAAGGTCACGGCACCACTGCAACCGTTGCGATCTTCGTAGCTCCTGTGTGGGTTTGCATGTGTTGAATGCCTTGATTCTTTAACAGTTTAAGTACATGGACAAGCCGTGGACAGACCCAGCAAGAACTCCTGCATTGCATCATCAAATCCGCAGCCAACAACAAACAGAACTCCCGCACGGCTTCGGTCGCAAACAGGATCCCTGATGTGCCTGCAATGCCCTCACCTTTCTTGGCATGATCCGTTGCCAGCACACTTAGCGCACGATAAGAAACCATCCGAGTCCCGTCCCCGGAAGATGCTGCTGCACCTTCGGCTGAGGTGTTTGCCTGACCAGCAGCGGTCGAAGATTCCTGCACAGGTTGAACGGCTGATGGAGCGTCCTCGGTAAGATCATCGATGGTTACCTTGCCTTTTCGAATAAGCTCCATCAGTCCACTGGCATACCCACTGGCAAGACTGGCAACATCGAATGGAGTACACATGGCATCCATCTGTGCAAACACCCCTATGCGCGATTGGATCAGTGTCATCAGCTTGTCGCCAGAGATCTCACCACAGCGACCCTCCAGAGTCTGATGGCACAAGGACAAAATATAGAAGCACCGGAGGCGTGCTAGGCAGGTCACGCCAGAAGGTGTTAGGATTTTTTTGAACAAATCGTTCCTAGCATGATCCTTGAGGACTGCTGGCAGGGCATCCCAGTTGCCCACTAGGTGTTGGCCAAGGATTTGGCCAGTGGCAACCACTGCTGCAGGCAGGACGGCGAGTACCGATGAGCATGCGTGAAATGCCACGTCCGCAATGTCCGCGACCGTTTGATGGAGCAAACAACTCTCCTGGTTCGTCCTGTTGTGCTGACTCTGGCACACGACATGTGCAGTGACCGGAAGAAACAACAATCACACACAACAACACCAGCGGCAACAAGAACAAGTCTACAACTACACCGAAAGCTGAAGCAGTGAAACATGTGTACCTTGTATGTGCAGGTGTTCACACAACACACACAACGTCAGCAGTCCTATTCTCGCCGCAGGAACACATGTCGGTCCATTCGCCGTAAATCTTGTTGTAGGTCAGGTGATGCATGATCTTGTCAAACATGGATTTGTCGCTCGGTGGCTGCTCGAGAGGATTCTCGGTGCGTGTGGCACCCATCTCCAGGTCGAGCCACGTGAGGAAATCGCTGATGAGAGGTTCCACGGACTGTGCAGCCAGTGCATTCTGAACTGTTGCCGCTGTTGTAGTGGTGGCTGCCGAACTCGACATGGCATGGTGTTGGTGTGCATGCGACCCAGCACTAGCACTTGAGAGAGCTTCGGACACCTGCTGCTGCGTGTCGGAGGACGATACAAACCCTTGCTCCAAACCGGCCGCACAGATAAGCTTGTCGGAGTATGCCGCCGCAACCTGTGTGTGGGTGTGTGTGTGTGTATGTGTGCGTTTTTGTGTGCGTGCGAGACTGTGACTGTGGCTGCGCAAACAAATGCAAAAGGAAGAAACAATCGTTGCCCTGCCTTGTGGTACTCATTCATTGCGTAGAGCTGCAGTTGAGGTCTCAACGTAGACCATTTCTTGTGTTTTTTCCCATCCAACACAAGCTCTCGCTCACATGCAAAGAATATGCCCCGGCGGATGCATTGTTCCATGATACGACACTCTACTGAACTGTACACCGGCATATCGGTTCCCATGTAATCGGCGGCTGTGGCACTGTCAGAGTCTCTGATAACTCCCCATTTGCGTCTGCAAGCTAACAAAGACGACCTGATTGCCATCACCAAGCAATCCACGAAGTATTTGTCCCGCACGAGCTTGCCACCCTGCACTGAGTCGACAACGATAGCACTGTCAAGCTTGCTGCTGTCCTCGATTCCCTGGGTCTTGGCGGATGATTTCGCCTTTGCTTTACCCTTAGCTTTCGCTTTGCCCGCAGCTTTCTTTGCCTGTGCATCTCCCGTTGCTTCCGTCAGCACTGTGATTGCATCTTTGG